TCAAGGGAGAAACATCTGAACAATGTGATGCTGACAATTGAAGCGCTCGAGACAATGACAGACAACCAGCCAGAGATAGTGACACTACTTCTAGATTTAGAGAAGGCCTATGACAGAGTAAATTGGGATTCTGTATTAACCACACTAAACAAAGCAAGCTTTGGGGAAGTTTTCTGCAGATGGGTACAAGCTCTGTACACCAAAAGTCTGGGTAGAGTCATTGTCAATGGGGAGATCTCTGAGATCTTCCCTCTTATACCCGTTCCCTGAGGCAGGGGTGCCCACTGTGGGCTCCCATGCTATTTGTCATGCAGTAAGTACTGATGTGTATGATTAAGAAAAATTCAGATATTCAAAGCCTTCAACTAGGGCAAGGCAGTCAGTGCAGGTCGTCGACCATGGCAGATGACTGTAACACCTAACCCTCCTTAGCTGCCCTCAAGCGCTGTCTAGATATATACTCTAAATTCTTAGAAGCTCTTGTGAATTGGTCTAAATCTGTGGCGATTTTGAGACAAAATTCCCGCTTGGCTGTGGATTGGGGTTGGAAGTGCCTCCCTGCAGATAACTGCAAACGTTTTTTTGGGTGTGCAGGTCGATCTTCTCAACGCCAAGAATCACGCGAGTACTGTGGTTGAAAGAAAGATTATCTCCAAGTTAAACCAGGTATCCTCAATCAGGGGCACTTCCATCCTTCGGAGAGCCCTCTTCTTGAACACCTTGATTTACTCTATAGCATGGTACCCGGCGCCCTCAGGGGCCTTGAAAAACAGGCATACAAGACAATCAGATCCGTGTCTATTAAATATCTATGGAAGGGCGCAAGTGAGCAACAAACTGGCTACCTTGCTACAGTAGCATGGAGGACGGTGATAGGGGCAAAAGAGGAGGGGGCCTAGGTATCCTAGAACCGGAGTCTCAAATAAATGCCCTCCTTGCTAGCTGGGTTGTCAAACTGTTAACAAAAAAGAGTAGTCATCCTTGGTTGATACTGGCTACCACAATGCTGGCCAAGGACTGGAATCTGACAAGGAGGGAGGATGTGGGAGTCGCCCTTACGACTCCATCTTTGGTCAGGGCTAAAGTTAAATCACCGGTGTGGAAAGGGATCCTTGCTGCATGGTGTTGGTTCATGCCATCCACGTTGGATCCACCAGGAACCAGGGAAGATGTGTTGGCCCAAAGGATTTTTGAAAACCCCAGTTTGGTGGACCAATTTGGCATCCCATGGTCGGCCGCGGACTTCCAAGGGCACTTTGGCAAGTCCTGAGTGCAAAGGAGGGTGTCCAGAATTGCCGATCTATGGGATGTAGAATTAATGCAATAGAGATCTCCATTAGAACTCTGAACGAAGCTGCACCATCTCGGGGAAGTTACGGAAAGGGTACGGATGGTTATTGACATCATTCCTGATAGCTGGAAGAACATCCTGAGAGCCCCCTACAGGCGTGCGAGGGCCATTGGGTTCGGTGCGTGGATGACAAAGGGAAGATCTGTTTTGCCAAAGTGGAGATGCTTCTGGATAATGAAGGTGCAGTGATAAAATCTTGCTCTCTCGTGACGGTGCGGGGAGGCTCTACATTTCAACTACTGCATTCAAGGGAGCAAGTAGCCAAACTGGATTCCAAAGCAGGGTCCATAGTTGTTATAACTAAAATAATTGACAAAAACAACATCATCTATGACAGCCCAGTTGGCACAGAGCCCGCTCATAAACTCCCCGTGTTGCCTCTACACACGTGGTGGAGATCGGCGGACTCTTCACATGTGACGTGCCTGCTGGATTACAAACCCAATGTGGGATACAAGGCGCAGGTCAAACGTCCTCCATCCCGTTGGAAGTGAAGAACAAGTGGATGATGGAAACGACGGAAAGGTCGTCCGCAGTGTCTCAAGTTACGGCAACTCCTTGAGGGGGATGTGGGCGAGCCTTCGGTCAATATCCGCAGCTAAATTTCCTAGCCTAATGTGGCTTCAATCTCATAGAGCTGTGCCAACGGCAAAGTGGCTGTCAGAAAATAGGATGGATGTGGAATGCCCGTCGTCTCCACCAAAAAAAAAAAAAAAAAAAAAAAAAAGGATTAACGTGGAATCAGTATGCTGTAGATGCAAGAAAAAAGAAGAAACAGCAACACATCTATGGTGGGAATGTGTAGAGTCAAAAAGGATTTGGGCATGGTGGGAAAGGTTATGGGATAAGTATGTGGGGGTCAAGTTTGAGTGGGATGAACGATTTGTGGTTGAAGGAGTAGTGGCCAATGCAGATGAGATAGGGAAAGGATGGTGCTATGTGACACTGGCCTGAAGGGCAGCTATAATGTATGCAATTTGGTCGTTCAGAAACGATCGGCTCTTCCGTAACAAGTCCCATTCAGACTTGGCAGTTACGAACCTCGTGCTCGCGAACATCAGAGCACTCATTTGGTCATATTGGAGGAAAGCCAACCGCGCCAAGCCAGGATGTGTTTTTTCACTTCATCAGGAAACCAAGGGAGATTCCTAAAATTGACTGCACATGGGATTCGCATAGAGCCTTGGCTCATGGGACCACAGCCCCTGTGAAAGTGCAGGATTCTGTTTGGTCGCTTGGCCCGGTTGAGTAACCCAGCCAGTCTATCTATTTTGTTCATAATTTAATTCTTGAATCATTTTCAATTGTTTGTAGAATCTTAGCATTTCACTCAAGACCCATATAGGAAGTAGTATAGCAAGTCCGTTGGGCTAGTGGAACACGTATTTCAGGCGCCCCTGGGTGAAGAGGCCAGTTAGCTTGCTGTATTCAAAGACTAGATTATGATGTTTGGGACGCTGGACCCGATTTCCAGCAGGTGCAGCTCCCCACGAATAGAATGGAGCCATCGAACCTAGGCCTGTTCTATCTTCAGGGGCTCTTACCACCCTGGAGGCAGAAAACCGGGCTCGAACCAATGTTGAAAAGGAAAAAAAAAAAAAAAAAAAAAAACTCGTTCAGTTTATTTTTCTGCATAACATAGTTTTTTTTCAGATGTTTTGGAATTGTTTTCTTTTTCTTTTTTTTTTCTTTTTTTTCTGCTGGGATTTTCCCTGGCCCTTGCACGGGCTGGCCACCCGGGACCCGGGCGGCCCGGCTGGTAGCCTTGCCCTGCACACAACTTTGCGCTGGGTAGCCCGGGGGTTGGACAGGGCAGGTCCCAGGTGAGGTAGGGGGTACCTGGAACGCCCGGATCGTAGCCCTGTAAGATAAACAAAAAAAAAAAAAAAAAAAAAAAACCCAGCAAATAGCATACCCCTGCAGCACACCTAGCTATACTACTACAGAGTGGAAAAAAAAAAGAACAAAAAGGCACAGCATCACAAACCCAGCTCAAACTTGCAAACCAAACCATCCCTCCATGCACTTTTCTCTTATTTGCACTACTCCTTGCGGTCCCCTGAAGACTGTCACACGTCCTCCCTCCCCATCCTCAATGCGTGCACTGCATTGGGTGAACACCATGTACAGAATTGCCCTCTTTCAAAGCATATTGCTCCCTCTCCGTTGAATATTACCACCCTCATCCTCGCTGTTAAAAAATAAAAATAAAAAAATCTCCCTCAGCGAGTCAGCCTTGGTTTGCAAGGTGATCTCCTTCTAGCATGCTTGACAACTCTCTCTTTCGAGTCTTTTCCCACCATGCATCCATTTGTCTTTCCTATCTTCTCTTCCTCTGCATGGAAGGCATTTTTTCTACCTCTTAACGAACAGGTCAGGAGTTTGAAACCTGACCAGACCACATGGATACATCAAATGTTAGGATAGGAACTGCCATCTTTTATATAGGGGGGGGGGGGGGGGGGGGAGGAAAGCAAAAACTGCCAGCAAAGTTGAGCAAACCAAGCCACAAAAAAATTTCCAGTACCAAACACTGCCTCTGGCGATAAACAGCTTCGGACACAACAAACTGTGCACAGAATGACAGACGAGAATACGAAAAGAAGTAGAGGAGAGAAGAAGAAAGGTAATGGCACAGACAGAGGAGGAGGCAAAAGCAAAACCGGAAGCAACAGGGAGAGGTAAGAGAATGCAAACTCTTTGAGTCTGTGAGCTGTGGAAGTCCAACTTGCCGTTGAAGGCAAAAAAAAAAAGAAAAGAACGAAAGCAAGGGGGTTCTATACTATGCACAGGCCTACGTACAATTCATGAATTCCTTTAGAAATATAATAAAAGGACAAGAACAACGCCACAGTCCAAAATGTAGGAGCACTGGAGTAGTAGTATCATCAAATAAAAGCAAAAGTTTCACAACATACTGCATGGATTTCATCCATCCAATCTTACAAAATCCCTTCGCACCCCCCTGCCCACGTCAAATACCCTTCCCC